CATGGTCATGTGATCACATATTGTGCACTTGGCAACCATTTCGCAGTTATGGCATTCGTAGTTTCCTGCAGTCACATCACTACAATTTTTGTCATTTTTTTTTGTCAGTTTTCAGTTTACTTCTAGTTTGCAGGAAAAAAAACACCCATTGAAGAAAATGGGTTCCATGTTCACTTAACAACAGCAGATTTGCTTAATGACTGCAACCAAAAAGATTGTGGTGACCTGCTTAATGACTGCCACCACTTACGACTGTAATTCTGGACTCACTTAAGATCATAAGTCAAGGACTACCTGTATACATTTTCCACAATAATGGGATGTATCCAAGTCACATTTGTATTTTAAAACCTTTCTATTTTTGTTTTCAAATGCTTTGTGGAACCAAACCATAATTTTAATTTTACCTTCCTAATCTCCTAGAAAAAAACTTTTGATCAAGAATGGAAAAGTAACTCATAACAATTTGACCAGCAAGTTGTAGTCGAAACCATTCATTTGCCATTTTAGATGGTTTTACTACAACTTCAAACTATCAAAAATATGCTAGGTTTTAAGATGGGTTATGCAGGTTCTGTTATCTTGAGGGCATAGCAGCTTTGCATGGCATGTTCCTCAGTGCTACACTATAAAAATGCACAAAAACAAAGCCTATTCAGGGTGGATGTTGAAAATTTATAAAGAGAGAAATGATTGTCTTACATATCCACTTGTTATTTCCCCTCACATTTCCATTTTCCCCCCAAGAGCCAATTTTTTGTCTATCTATGCTGGGACCATAGAACTAGCAACCATCAACCAAGTCATATTTTTTAACTTTAAGGTATCATGGAATATTTAGTTATTTTTGGTTATATCATGCATTTCCCTTTTTTAGAATTTCTGTCATAGCTAAACCTTTGCAAAATTTCCATGTTTTCCTATAAGCACAAGAATATAAAAAAAGTTCCCAAGAGCATTATTAAAATCTCATAACTCACATCTACTTGAGGCAATGGAGCAACTTTCAACCAGAAGTCACAGGTACTAATGAATTTTGCTTTAACAGTAAAAGTGTTGTGATAATAAAATATTCTAAATGTTGTGAACTCATAAGGTAATTACAATAATAGTTAAATAAAGTAAATAACAAGAACAATAAAACTATCTCTCTTAACATCTTAGGAAAAATATTGCCTGCATGAACACAACTATCAAACAAGAAAACAGTGCTAAACAACATTTTAAATACTTTTCATTCATCACCTTTTATAGTGGGATGTTCTAACTAATTCTGTCTATATTCTTGAGATCAAACAAACCTTGCCTGAATCTGTCTATGCATCGGAAATAGGGAGCAATGAAAATTAGTTGCATGCCACCGTAAGGTAATCTGTTAAGTGAACATACCTATTGACAATAATTGAATATTCATATAGTGTATGGAAAGCCACCTAATTTTACTGCCTTTGATTAGTAAGAAATGGTTTGCAATCTTGGTTGTCATTTGGATTTGGAAAGTTGCATGCTTTTGAGCTTGCTTTTTGCTTCTTCTGTAGAAGACACTGTAATTCTCAATAATTCTCAGTAATAAGTATTTTAAATATTCAGCTTAGACACACATAGCAATTACAGCAGAAATTGATAATATGCACTGACACAATGGCATTCACAATAACCCTTAATTTCCATGAACTACTGAAAAATTTAAAAACAAATTAACTAAAAAAAGGTCAAATCTCACAAAATTAACAGTGCACATTGAGACTTCATTGTTCATATATAAGGTTCATAAAATCCCTATGTTTTCAATTTGAAGATCTTATAAGATACCAGCCAATTGTAGGTATTACAAAGGATTATAATTTTTGATGCCTATGACTTCAGGCAGGCTTGTGTAATGGTTTTCATCCTCTCCAAAGAATGCTAAGCCAAGTTATAATATCAGGGAAGGAAAGAAGAGAGACTGTCTAACGTTTTGAAGAATATCATCTATAAAATATCCTTTCAGTCTCTCAGCCAATGCAGCCCATTAGATGGCACCCAGCTGAACAAAATCTGGCTGAAACTTCTACACAGTCAATAAAGAGCTACAATGAACTGTGAGCATGATTTTACTCTCCCTTTAGGCAATTATATTATTTGAATTTAATCCATTCTATTTTATCATCCAAAGTGCAAATGAACCAAACAAAGCAGCTTAACAAACAGTACTCAACTTTGCCAGAGAAAGAAAAGGAAAGAAAAATAAAGACTTGTATTCAAATAGCATACATTAATGATACTCGTGGGAGGATATCAGAGACTGTGTGCCTAGTTGGTTCATCCCATTAGTATATGGATGCCAGCCAATTAGTGTATTTCCTATTCAAAAATTAAAATAATAATTTAAAGTAGTTTTGGAAATAGAAAGGCCGGTAGACACCCATTTCCTCTCTGCTTCAATTACAACTCACCAGATTTCAGTCTTCGTTCTACCCAATTAAATAGCTTGATTTATTTTGCCCTAATCCACTGTGGGAAGGGACAGCAATGTTTTTATTATATTCTATAATATAAGAGACTCTTCATAATATTTATTGAGATCAATTAAAATGCATTTTTATCATGATAAGTACATTTGAAAGCCTATTGATTTATTCTCATCTCAAAAGGTGCTCAAATTAATAATACATTGACTATAATTTATTTTACAAGAAGATGAAAGCGGTATGAAAAATAGATAGGAAAATATTTTATTTTATTTTGTAATCAAAGATAGTGATAGTTCAACAAAAAATACAAATAAAGCCAAGTTTTAACTTTAATCAGACCTTCTCTCTTTAGGCCAACAAAGTTACAAACATATAGCAAAAAGAATACTCAAAGTCATCTTGCAACCATGCATAAATTAAATACTGAATATAGCTAACACTAAAACCTATAACAATTTAAAAGGATTTAACATTGCTAAATATTTACACAAATAATACATATTTCAATGAAATGTCATAATTTCTGCAATAACAATTGATCAGTAAACTTAAATGCAATAAAATAATTAAAATAATTGAAAATGACTTTGACTAATATTTTATACATACAAATTCCTCTAGATCAGGAGTGTCAAACTCTTTTTATTGAGGGCCACATCAGATTTGTTTGACTTTGGGGGGCCAAGGTGGGCATGGCCAGGGTGGGCATGGCGAGCTTTACGTCACTCATGTCGGGAGCGCCTGGGGTGGCCTGAGCACTCTGCCAGTGAAAATGGGCTCCCGAGCTCCATATTCGGCTCTGATAGCTTCCTGCAACCCTTTACCAGTGAAAACAGAGTTCAGGAGAGCCGCCTGTAGCCCTCCCAAACTCTGTTTTTGGCTGCGTCAGCTACCTGCAAACCTCTGCCTGCAAACCTCTGCCAATGAAAACGGATTTTCAGAGGGCCACCCGGGGCCCTCCCAAGCTCTGTTTTCACTGGCAGAGGCACCGTGGGCTAGTCCTTTGTTGTTTCCAGGGCAGCCACGTGGGCCAGATCTAAGCATCCAATGGGCCAGATTCAGCCCGTGAGCCTTGAGTTTGACACCCCTGCTCTAGATTAATCTCCAGTCAGATCAATAAATGAAACATATTTAACTATCTCTCTCCTCTCTCTTTATGTTTTTTCTCTATAAATAATTTCATAATGAAGATTTTTTTAATATACATATTTTGCATGACTAGAAGTATTGCTTACTATATCGTCAAAACCGACTACTTTCATATACAAGGAATATCTAACATCCTGAACATATACACACTCCTCCAAAAATCATCGGTTAGCATATTAACTTTTACAATTAATTTACGGTTAACTTTTACAGATAGCACACATATAAAAAGTACCACTGTAATTAAAATATTGAGACAGCAAACAAGATCAAAAATATGAATAAAATTAGCTATACTTTGCATTAAATTTAATGCATGTCTATTAATATTCCAAGCACCACTTCTGCATAAAATTAAAATGTTTTGTTCAGTTTTCTCTTATTCCATAACTTAGATTATGATTGTTTTAGAAATTTTAACAATCAAATGTGAAATAGCTGTAAGTTAATAATGGGACCTTTGCCACTTTTCTATAAGAGAACAGCAATCAAATCCTTGCTGCTCTTTCCAAAGCATTTCAGAGTAAAAAGTTGTATATATCAGAGCAGGGGTCGCCAACCTTTTGGACCTCAGGGACCACCAAACTCATAATTTTAAATCCCATAGACCACTAATAAATTTTGACTGATGGTGGCTTGCTGATGTTGGTGGGAAAGTCGGTCCCATATTCCAGAGCTGCAGTAGTTACAGGACTGGCCCTTTGGTCATCCCGGAGCAGCTGCTCCTCCACCCGGGTGCACCGGCCTGCCATGGACTGGAGGAGCTGCTCCAGGATGACCAAAGGGCAAGTCTTGTGACTACTACAGCTCTGGAATATGGGACCGACTTTCTCACCAATGTCATCAAGCCATGGGAAAGTCGGTCCCATATTCCGGTAGAGATTTCCCTCCCCCACCATTGGTCTTACCTTCCAGTTCCAGCTCACATGGCTCTACTCAAGGTAAGGTTTGCGCTTGGCAGAAGGGTGGGGGACAGCAGGTGGGCGGGTCATGTGGGCAACGCAGGCTTGTGTTCCCGTGTAGTCTGGATTAATTGCTTTGGGGGGGGAGTGCTTGGGGGAACCACCAACATTTTCTCGTGGACTACCAGTGGTCCCCGGCCCACCGGTTGGTGACCACTGTATTAGAATACATACCAGTATTTTCGATATCTAAATTGCAAAATCTTTAAGCCTCTAAAATTTTAACTGATGAGACCTCAAAAATAGAAGAAAAACCCACTGCATATTTTCTTCCAAACTCATTTTGGCCAAACTGAAGCAGGTTTCATTGCTCCAACCACTGGAACAGTATAGCTAAATCCAAAACTTTCAGATACTGACAAAGGCAACTAAAAGAGAGAGGCATAAGGCAGGCAACTAATGAAATTTACATTATGACATCATGATACAAACTCACCTGAGTAACATGACCCTCTGGCAACCACTGTTATATCTTTTTGATGCTTGCAAGCAGCTCTTCTAAGAAAGCATTCATTTTGATAGGTGTCTCCATTTGAACCACAAACAGGAATATAATTTGTATGACACTGGAAAGAGAGAAGGTGTGGAAGAAGGAAGGAAGGAAGGAAGGAAATTTATGTTAATCCATGCATACATACAAACTAAAATAATTCTGCAGCAGACATTCACAAGACTTAAAATGTTTACTTGAAAAGAAAACAATACTGAATTTAAGCACCCCAAAAGATGAGCTAAGATCAGGACAGGGAGGGTAAAGGAGAGAGGTAATTAGAATTAATTACTAATAAAATTATTAGCCTATAAAATAAGATACATTTACAAAATTATTTGATTGGCCTATACCAAGCATTTTTCGTCATCCACTCAAATCGTTTATATGTGCAAGTTTACAAAACACACACACATTCATTCCCTTTCATCCTTCCAACAGAAACAGCCAAAAATAATAAAATTGATCCGCTTTTTTTTAAAAAGGAGAGATATTTGCACTAAGTAGATATGTGTAAGAAAGAAAATGAATTGAGGCCAAAGTAAGTGATAATTGAATAGCACAGAAGAAAGAAGCATTACCAAAAAAGTTAAATTCACCAGGCAAGCAGCTTCTCTCAAACAAGACCTAATTTTAAAAGATTTCCATGCTTTTCAGCAGGAAATCTTCAGCCTGTTCCTTCTGTTCTAATATGGGAATGAGAGTAGTATTTGAATAACACACACACAGCACACAGATACTCTGTACAGTAAATGTAGGTTTTTTACTTTCAGTAAAGGTTTAAGCAAAGTTCAAAATAAGCAGTCCAAAGTCATTCACAGGTAAAATCAGTCAGTTTTCAATCAGGGATAATTCCAGTATCAAAAACAGTTCAATATCAGACTTACATCAAATCCAAAAAATATCAGTCAATTAGTAGGAACGGCAAAACTCTCCAACAGAAGGAAACAGAGACTCACTGAGATTTCTAAGACTAAGACAACCCAGGTTTCTGGCTCCATCTTATGGCCGTTTGAGAAACCATACCCAAATACAATTTTTTGTATTTTCTTAAAGACATAGTACTAAAATGTCTATCTTGGTTTATATATTTCCAACCCAAATACCTGTTAGGTGACTTACATTCCTAACAGACACATTTTAAAGAGTTAGGATCTAGAGCAATCTGCAATGTAAAGGATGATATGTAAATAAATCAATTTATATGTACTAATCTGAAGAGACAAGGTAAAGGGACCAATCTACAAATCAAAATGGAGGTCAATATTTAAAGATTCAAATTACATACAGGTCTATAAAATTATGCAACAACATTCCCACAACGTATTGTAATCACAGGTATTTCTCGCTCAGGGGTAGGATTCAAATTTTCTAACAACCAGTTCTGTAGGCATGGCTAGGTAGGTGTGGCCAGGTGGGCATGGCCATGTGACTGGGTGGGTGTGGCTGCTTCTTTTTTTTTTTTTCCGCCCCCCCCCCCCGTTTTTTTGCATCCTGGGCCTCAGGGAAGCCTCCTGGGGGGGGGGTGTTTTTGCTCCCAGAAGTTTCCTTTGGGCCCAGGAAGGCAAAAAAAAAAAACGGAACTCAGGGGGTGCACAGCACCCCACTATGCTCTGTTTTGGGGCCTCCTGGACCTCAGAGAAGCCTCCTTGGGGGGGAGACATTTTTGCTCCCAGGTTTCCCTGGGGCCCAGGAAGGCAAAAAACAGCATAGGGGGAGAACCCCCCCCACACCCCTTTTTGCCTCCTGGGCCTCAGGGAAGCCAGTAAGCAGTAAGGCAGCAAGGGGGATCCCGGCACAGCTGATCATTGGAACAGCTGATCATTGAAAGGAGGAAAAAAATACCTAAAGGAGTTACTGGGTGGGGTAGAATGCAGTCAGTGATGTTGGGCATGTGTGTGATATCGCACATGTGCAATAAGGACTGAATGGGGAGAGAAGGGGAGGGCGGAGATGGGTGGGACCAGCCAGGGGCACTATTTGCCGGTTCTCTGAACTGCTCAGAATCATAACAACCAGTTCTACAGAACCAGTCCGAACCAGTAGAATCCCACCCAGTTCTCACTTAATGTTCGTCCAGCGACCATTTGAAATCACAAAGGTGCTGAATGGTCATGCCCCATGTTCTGCATAATTACAAATAGGATTGTTAACAACCACAACTAGGATTGGGGTCACTGGGTGAAGCGATCATGTATCATCTCTCTTAATGACCACTTTGCTCAATGACCAGATTCCAGGCTCAATTGTGGTTGTAAATCAAGGACTATTTGTAGTATAATCACAATAAGAAAGAATATTGTTTTTCTTCGCTTTAAGTTTATATTAAGCTTCTAAAAATATATTATTTCTAATTTTTATTGTGCAAAAATTAATTAAGACAATAAAAGTATACATTCCATATTAAAATGTGTAAAGTTCACATTTAATCATAATAATAAAAAATGATAAAAGGCCTAACAAATTCAGTTGCAAACAAAATAACTCCAAAAACTTTGACCATAATGCTTGAAAGTCTTTCTCCTTATCTCTTTGTCAACAAAATAAATGGACCCGAATTGAGTTCTAAACAATATGCTATACCACATTATGTATTTCCAAGAATCAAATTGTCAGTGACTTATTTATAATTATCTCATCAGTTCAGTTTATGTCCATTCATAAATATGAAAAATCCTTACCTGTAATTGGCATACACATTTCCAACTCTCTCCCTCTTCCTTGCAAACACCCCCATATTTACATGATGATTCATCACATACTTTCTCATCCAATTCTTTAACATTTAACTCTGAAAAATAAAAGATTAAACATCTGTTATATTGTGTGTTTTCAGAAATGTGAACTAATTTTGCTGTACTGATTAAGGAGAAATACATGTAACAGAAATATATATAATGAAGCACGGAAATATTTTTTTAAAAAAAACTTTAATAAAAAGCACTCAGGAAGTTGCAATTTTGATCAATAGAGTCTGTTGAGTAGTTATAGTGCTAAAAACTACCTCCCTGCTTTCCACTTTACTATTCATAATCAATAGATCATAACTTGCTTTTATTCAGACTTACCAGAGGTAAACCTTGGAGAGGAGTTGGCAATTTAGAGAGGATTTAATTCTGAGCAGGAAAAACACAGAGCAAAGATGCTAGGAAAGATATTAACTATCCCTTTTCTCTATCTATTTATGAAGCTCAGAGTCAAAGCTGCCTTCTTTGCCCTTTAGAAAATAATTTCTGATCATATGTACCCCAACCCTTCCCAGACTGCCAGTTCTCAGCAAGATGCCTCAGCTGGTGGCGTTCTTGGAACATGACAAGTGTGAAGTAACAAGACGAACTAGATGATTGTTCAAATAGTAAGGCTGTCGGAAGGAAAATACTACCAGCAATTGCCACCCATACACTTCTCTGAGTCTACAAGCAAGATTATAGTTTTTCCATTTCGAGGAGGAGTTGGGAAGAAACCTAAAGTGAATGTCAATAAGCTGCTAGCTATTGCAGTAAATGAGAACCGGAGAGGTATCTTGCAGCAGCTTACGTCAACTTGACATAACTTGTTAAGATCTGTGATTTATGTCCAATATATGTATAATACAATATTAAAGATGACATGCAGTTGCCAATATACTTCCTTTTCCCTATTAAACCATGAACCACAAAACTCTGGGATTCCTCAGAGAAAGATCAGTACTAATGAATGAGCCTCATCGAAGGCTATTTATCACTGCCTAGCTCCCACCCACCCACTCTCAATTCAATTGCAATAGGGTGTTCCACTGATCATGTACTCAGTGGATACCCCCATGGGAACTGAAATGTATTTCCTCCTGAGCTGAAGGCAGCTGAATGCTAGACAATGTCTTATGTGTGGGAAAAGGTTGGTCAAATATTAGTCAAGAACCATTTTCTCTGGCATCTATTTTTCTGTGGGTTTTTTTAAAAAAAATGTGGTATGAAAGACCATTCTGTCATGAAAATAAATCCTCTTACCTATCCGAATGAATTTACTACCTCAGCAATATCTAAACCACTGTATGCATTTTAAAACATTCTGCAATGCATACTGAAAATATTCCTTGAAGGTAGACAGCTCAAAGCTGTCATCTTTACAAAGGCTTTTATTTGCAAGTACTTGTAACATATATGCATTTATTTGGTACCCTTAAAGTTAGCGGCTCATAGGATTATATTTTAAGTTACTGTCAGAATGAATGTAACTGAAAATGTATACTGGACTTATAGGTGCATGCATTTTTCATCATCTGTATGCCGCTCTATCTTCCTTCCACTTGATCTTGAAATATAATTGCAAGAGTCTGATAATGTTCCCTGTGGTCTTCTGGGTCTTCCTAATTCTAGAGTAGCAGCACTACAGATATCTCCTATGAAGCATTACTGCTGGAGACAGCTGGAATGGCTGTATGTCTAGTGAATTGGCTTTGGAGCAGGCTACTTCCAAAGTCTCCTAAGCTAATTTGAAATAAACTTCAATTTACCTAGAGATTATCGTTCGGTGGAATGTTGTGGCCAACATGGAATTATCAAAAAGATACTAGGAACCTGCCAAAACTCAGGTAGATCACAATAGCCCTCCTAGTGTCTCGGTCCAGTGGGAAACTAAATTGACTCTATGAATTAAGATTTGGGTTGGGAACAATATGATGGTATCCAGGTAGATAATTTTTTGATCTCCGCGCATCTTTCCCTTCTTGTAGTAGAGTGATATATTTTCTGTCCACACTCATCAGCTTCTCACAATCTTATCTTCTTTGTTTCTCATATATTCTTTCATCCAGTTACACATCCTGATGTTCATCTGTCTTTTCTATCTTGACTTCTAATTTTTCCTTTCCTACTTGTCCTCTGATTTTGCTCTCCAAAGGGGTATCTAGTTATACCCATTATCTCAGTGGTGGGATTCAAAAACTTTTACTACCAGTTCTGTGGGCGTGGCTTTGTGGGCGTGGCCATGTGACTGGGTAGGCGTGGCTTTTTTTGCAGCCCCCCACCCATTTTTGGGAGCTTCCTAGCCTCAGAGAAGCCTCGGGGGGGGGCGTTTTTGCTCCCCTAAGGCTCCTCTGGGGCTCTGGAAGAAAAGGAACAGAGCATGGGAGAGGCATACAGCACACCTCCAAGCTCCATTTGGGAGCTTCCTAACCTCTGAGAAGCCTCTAGGGGGGGTGCTTTTGCTCCCCTAAGACTCCTCTGGGGCTCTGGAAGGCAAAAAATGGAGGGGGGGCTGAGCTCCTCCCTCCATTTTTTGCCTTCCTGGGCCTCAGCAAGGGAAATCCTGGCACAGCTGATCTTATCTACAGCTGATTGCCAGGAGGGGGAAAAAAGACAGAAATACCTTCGGCGAATGTCAGGCAGGTGGGCGGGGTAAGCGAGCATCGGGCAGAAGGGTGACCAGGTGAGGGGCATGGCCAGCCAGAACTTACTACCAGTTTGGTGACCCATGCCAAATTCTTGCTACCGGTTTGCCCGATCCGGTGCGAACCGGCTGAATTATCTATCACACTTCATTTCCCTTCACCTCCTATTCTCATCTGTTTAAATTGTCTGTTCCTCTCAATCCTCCATTAACTTATAGCTCATCTCAACCAACAAGGATAAGCCTGCATACATATTGCTGCTCTGTAAAGTCAGACCTGAATAACTGCTTGCTAATGAGAGTCCAAGTATCTGTGAAGATGCTCCTTTGCATATTTAGGGACCACATTTGAAAATGTGGAAAAAGAAATGTGATAAAAAACTCATTTAGTAAGAGCCAACAACGGGAAATTGTGAATTTTTCAAAAGATGGCAGACATCTTGCAGACAACGAGTCACAGGTCTTTTCCATCGAAACAAGCCAAGAACAAGCACCCCAAAGTCACAGAGAGTTAAGAAGCAGAATTACACATTCTTACATCTAGGTTGAATCATGGCAACTGAACCAAAATTTGTTACACTGAGAGGTTTTTCTTCCCATCCAGGAAGTCAAAATAAAAAATTAGTTAGACAGAAAGTTAGAGAGTCGTTGGAATGTACCAACTCTTATCATACCAACTTCTCCCAAAATGTATTGCAATATGTCAATGAAGTCATATTGATTTATTGGGTACCTTTTGTTATCCTCAATCTGGATGATTGAGCCTTCGTTGACATATTCTTCCATCTACTCTTTTTTTACTCAAGACAGAAATTCACCAGCAACAAATCTGGTTTGAGAAATCTAGATTGGTTTGTTGTATGATCTATTTGTTTTAATGCCTATCCATGGTATTCTTGTAAGTCTTTTCTTAAGAAAATCTGTATTATTGCCTGCATATTCTCATCTTTGTAGGGGTACCTTTTGTATGGAATCCTTATTATAATGCCAACAGTTTTCCTGTGAGTTCAAGTCCTGCCTTAGGTGTGAAAAACTGGCTGGGTGACTTTGGGCCAGTTACTCTCTCTCAACCCAACCCACCTCAAGGCATTTTTGTTATAGGGAAAACAGGAGGAGAAAGGTGTTGGATATATGTGCCACCTTGTTATCTGTTTAAAAAAGAATAAAGGCAGGAAATGAATGAATGAATAAGCAAGCAAGCAATAAGAACTTAGCCAAAGCAACAAGGGTTGCACTTTTGGAAGACTAAAAGGCTATGCTATGAACACAGCATCCTGGAGAAGGATTTTATACAATATTTTATTTGTATATAAATAAATGATTATGATATAATTTATTCAAGCTCAATTCCCCATCCTCCACAAGAAGAAAACGTTCCTAAAACTGGATCAGGCTAGAGTTGTGAGCCCAGGCTTAAGCAGATGAGTAGGACCTAGGAGTCAAATAGGTATAGGGTTTAGATGAGTAAGAGAGAAGCCAGCAGTTCCCAGTACAGACACAGCCCTGATGTAAATATGTAACTGCTTGGCTTCAGGGCCACCAAATGAAGTGTGAAGTACCCATTAATTCAAAAGAGCAGGAGGAAAAAACTTTAAACCCTTCAGGGGAAAAACAGTATTTTATATCTTTTCATTAGCAGCATCTGAAATAAAGACTGCAACCTAGACAAGCTATATTTGAGAATTTTCATCAGTGGAACTGAGCTAAGCTGTTATCTGTCAAAAGATCTATGATTTATTCCTGAGCCATGACAGCAAGCTGAGCAGAAATACTCGGCTGGTAGTATTTGACTCACAAGCTGCCAGTTGCCCATCTGTGTCTTAGGACATATTGGCCCGAACGGACAAAAACTTATTCAGATTTTCCTCATTCCCATCTAAACTTGGAATTATCCTCTCAGGTGAAAATGATCTCTCACAAATTACAATCCCAGAATTCTTTGGATGAAATTGTAACAACCAAAATACTTAAGCTAGTAATAAACAAAGTTTTCAATTGTTTCTTAATTTAGATTTTAAAACATTCAATATAATCCCCAAGTTATTTTTGAGAGAAGAAATAAATGGATATACCAATAGAGTGCCTGATCAATCTATTACTTTGTATATCATCATCTGCTTTTGCTACTGAAGTCAACTATTATGTTTTTGGGCTGCACGTCAACAGAGAATTTCCATTGCTTGAATCACCTTGTCAGATTATTTACTCTGGCTTTCTGTATACCCAGCCAAATTAATTCTTGCTAAATGAGAACTAAAAGAGAAATTGATAGAGAAGACAAAGATTAGCTTAACTTCAGAAAACTATTTCTCTTTTTATTATTGCATCCAATAATCAAGATTCCTAGTAGTACGGATAACTGTTAAGAGAAAGGATTGATTTTTCAAAGAAAACATCAAGGGGGAAAATAATATTAGTGGG